ACACACACAGGCGCGGTCGTCTCAATGTGCGTTTTTGCAATTTGCATATAGGCAAAAACGCATAATGAGGATGAAATTAAAACGGGAGGGTCGCGCATGGTATGGACACATAACCCCAAAGTTTCAGCCTTTTAGCTTTTCTGGGTCTCGAGTTGAAAGTGAGTGACAAAAGTGCGAACACACAGACAGACACACACAAACACGTGCGCACACAGACACAGACAGCCTCTTCCCAATATGCGTTTTTGCAATTTACATATATGCAAAAACGCATAAAAATGAAAATAAGCAAATGATTGGAAATGGCATGAAAAAATCAAAGAACAACAACAGAGATGTCAATAATGACACACACATGTATACATAAAAATATATCATTATTGACATATGCACATTTACTGGATTACATTTGTTCATTTGATTATATTATGCATATCAATTTGTAAAATATATGACTCTTGTTATAAAATTATATGATATTTTTTCGCTTTTTTTAGCAGCGGTTTTTTTTTTGCAGTGAATCAGGAATGCTGTCGCATTCCTGCGTGTTTGCAGTTTTGCTTCATTTTTGTCCTACCTTCCTTTTTCATTTATCTTGCTTATTTTCTTTTAGCTCCCTCCCCTATTCCCCGTTCTTTTATCACCTCCTTTTGTTACCCTTTTCCCTACATTCCCAAAAATTCCTCCAAATCATCAATCATCCCACGGGGCGAACCCTAACACCCTTTACAAACCATCTTTACCTTCCCTCGGGGCCTCAGTTTCTTCAGCTGACTTCGACTTCATTAACCCCGCTCGCCACCTCTTGCGCTACATCTCCAGCCAATCTACGATCACGACTGGGACTCGGACCTCTTCTTTTCGAAGCCAGGATATTCGGCCCTTCGGAAGCCCCTGCTGAATCCCCTGCCCAGCAGGTCATCCCGTTCGTCAGAGCCCAAGCGTTACGCTCTGTGTTATTATTACCCTTGTAACTAGACATAAAAATTTTCATTTCCGGAATTGGCCCTTTAGTCTACGCACCACGCCGCATAGCGATTCACCATATACGTGAACAACCCATGCCACACAAATTTTTACTAAATGAACAAAATTTTGTTCTTAAAAAATGCTGCAAGAATGGTTTCCAGGTAATTTTCCACGCATAATCTTTGTGGAGCAGGGAATAGCTGAATTCAGGCTGAAACGCACTAGGCTTACCGGCACGATTATGTGTTTTTGCAAACTTGAAGCAATCAGATCGTGAACTGTATGAATGGTTGTTGCTTTACACCTACTTTGTGCGCTCACTAGCGTAAATCATCGTAAATTTTGCATAAAAGAAGATGAATGATTTTTGTCGAACGGTCATTTATAAAATGACCTAGCCGTTCAGTGGGCAATATCCCCGCCAAAACTTTGATCTCCCATACGTAAGAACCACGTATACCTAGAGGCTTTCTTTAAAACCTTTAAGTTGTACTTGGACAGGGAACATACACTATAAATTTTAGCCTCTCAACTTTTCTGATTGCCAGTACCACGCACACCCTAGGAGCTGAATTTTAACCTTTAGCTCATACATGCAGAGAAAATGTCCCTGCAAAGTTTCAAATCTTTCTCCTGCCTGTTTACCGAAATCGCTTTCCAGCCAAAAAATTTGCATATTTTTTTTTGAGACGTCCGCACATAGGGCCCAAGCGTACGCAGGTAATAATATTAAAGTGAAAAGGTTGCACGTGTGGTCGGCACGTGCTCCCGAAGTTTCAGCTTTCTAGCCTTTTTGGTTCTCGAGTTGAAAGTGGGTGACAAAAAGGGCGAATGCATACAGCCTCTTGCCAATATGCGTTTTTATGCGTTTTTGCTCTACAGCGCTATAGCAGTATTATAGCGCTGCTACAGCCAGCAAAAGCACATATCGTCGAGAGGCTGTCTGTGTATGTGCGTGAGTGTTTTCAGAAGCGAGTGCATTTTGTCACCCATTTTCATCTCAGCAACCTGGAAAGCTGGGAGGCCGAAACTTTGGCTGAACATATACCCCGTATGTCATCCTCCCGTTTCAAGATTTTCCCCCAAACGCCTAGACCCTGCGTGCGGGTCTCCCCTCCCTTCTTCCATGAAAAAAAAAATATGTTAGCGGGAAACGATTTCGCGAACCAGGCCAGATAGAAAGCTGAAACTTTGCAGGGATATTATCTATGCATTTGCGAGCTAAAGATTTTAAACTCAGCTGTCGAGCACCCCAACCACAGCCTCAAGCAGCTCCTCGACCCAAAAATCGTTAAGAAACCTATCGCAACCCGGATCCGAACCTCAATCGCATATGTAAACTAACATCAGTTAATTTCATACACGGATTTTTTGACAAACGACCGCTCGAGCAATAGTTCCACTTTTTAGTGAACCGAAAATTTGCATTTTTTCAAAAAATTTGCATTTGTTATTTTTCACAAAGCGAGCATTTTCCGAAAAAGCGACCGGACTTCGTGCAAAAAACCTGTAGTCATGCACCTGGATGTATGTGCGGCCTTATAATGCACCACCTTCATCCCAACAGACGC